CTAATTATATTTTAGATTTTTTATATTTAAAATGAGATGTTTATCATGTATTTGATTGTGTTTATCTGCAGTTAGTTACACGAATTCAGATATGGGATGAATCGGATAGAGATGAAATCGTTTAGGGATGAACGAGTTTAAGAGTTTTTAATAGTTTTAAGAGTTTTTAAAAGTTTTAGCCAAATATTTTATAAGATAGTATAAATAGATAGAGAGAGAGAGAGAGAGAGTTGTTTCAAATGCAACTCATCACATTTGTACAATCAATGCAACCCAATAAATTAAAATATTTATGGAAATAATGAAAGTTCATTTATTATGATTTAAATATTTATGGAAGATGAATAAGGTTTATTAATTATGATCAATACTTTATATTAGGAAATAACTAAAACTTCTATGAAATTACATATTCATCAAATTAAATGGACGGTTGAGATTGAGTTGTATTGGTTATACAAATATTTGGCAAAGGTTGTATAATAATCCACCTCTCTCTCTCTCTCTCTATATATATATATAGAGAGAGAGAGAGAGAGAGGTGGTTATACTACAAAGTACATACTCTTATAAATCAATCTTAACCGTTTATCTAATTAAATCAATATGTGATTTAATATGTATCTCAATAGTTTTCTAATATAAAACATTGATCATAATTAATGAATCATAATCATCTCATAAATATTCAGATTATAATAAATAAACTCAAAGCATTTTCATAAATACACCAGATTATAATAAATAAACTGAAATCATTTTCATAAATATACCGATCATCGATTGATTCCAACAATTATGAGCTTCTCTTTATGTAATCGCAAGTAACCACAAAATTTTTCCCAAATATCAAAAGAGTTAGTGTTAATTAAACAAATCATATAATTGTCAATAAAAGTCAAATCTTGAATCTTTTTGGAATGAAGAGTAATTTTCGTTTCTTGATGAGTGGTCATCACTATAAATTGCCTTCCTTGGCCCCCTCATATTTCATTCTCAAATTTCTTCCATCTCTTTCTAATAAAAATTTCCCTTTATTCTTCTCTAATCAAATATGAAATTGATGATCACAATGAGTGTGGTTTTATGGGCTTCCTTACTCATATTCCTCTATCTCTTCATCAAGATTACTTATCAAACTCTTACATGTTACTTGCTCACACCCATACGTATCAAGAACATCATGGCTCGGCAAGGAGTCCGTGGCCCCAAACCCCGGTTCCTTATCGGTAATCTCTTGGATGTCGCGTCTCTCATCTCCAAATCCACCTCCTTCGACATGCCCTCTATCGACCACGACATCGTTCCTCGTCTCCTACCTCACCTTGTTCTCTGGTCCAAAATATACGGTACCCACATGTACCCTTTTTCGGAATCCATCACCCGTAAAGAAGTCTCTAATTAGTTGTGATAGAGAAAAAGAAAATACATCATTTAATTTTAATTAATTATATAAACTTTCTTATGCATGAAACACTTTACACTTGTATAATTAGTATTAGGAATTAATAAAAAAGAAAGATAATTAAAAGAATCTTGAATTCATAAGTTGGTAAGTAATATAATATATATGATATAATTATTTAGAAAATTAAGGAAATGGGTTATAAAGTTTCAAGAAAATGATGAATCTTGATGTGAAAAAGAAGTGATTTTTGATGAGTTTTAAGAAAGAAAGAAAGGTGGAGATGATATAATAACTAATGGTGATATATATATATATATATATATATATGTATGTATTTGCAGGAAAAAGATTTATATACTGGAACGGTACGGAGCCTCGGATGTGCTTGACGGAGACGGAACTCATCAAAGAGCTTTTGGTAAAGCACAGCACTATTTCTGGTAAATCATGGCTCCAACAACAAGGCTGTAAGCATTTCATTGGGCGTGGCCTTTTAATGGCCAACGGAGATGATTGGCACCACCAACGTCACATCGTCGCACCTGCATTTATGAGAGATAAACTCAAGGTATATACATACATACATACATACCCTATATATATATATATATATATCGATCTATATATCTTATGTATCATGTTGTACGTAGAGTTATGCTGGTTATATGGTGGAATGCACCAAAGAGATGATCCAGTCAATGGAAAAAGAAGTGGCCACTGGACGAACTGAGTTTGAGATCGGAGAATACATGGCTGGGCTCACAGCTGACATCATTTCTCGAACCGAATTCGATAGCAGCTACGAGAAAGGAAAGCAAATATTCCATTTGTTAACAGTTCTACAACAGCTCTGTGCTCAAGCTAGCCGTCACCTATGCGTTCCCGGAAGCCGGTAGACCATTGAATCCTTATATATATATATATATATCGTCTTTCATGGATTCTTTGTTTTCAATCCATTTTTTGTTGACATATATTGTGAACTTTCTGTAGATTTCTTCCGAGTAAATACAATAGAGAGATCAAATCGTTAAAGATGGAAGTGGAGCGTTTGTTGATGGAGATTATTCAGAGCCGAAGGGATTGTGTTGAGATTGGGAGGAGCAGTTCATATGGGAATGATTTACTGGGGATGTTGCTTAATGAAATGCAAAAAAAGAGAGGTGGGAATGGATTCAGTCTGAATTTGCAGGTGATAATGGATGAATGCAAGACCTTTTTCTTTGCTGGCCATGAAACCACTGCACTTCTGCTTACATGGACCATCATGTTGCTAGCCAGCAACCCATCTTGGCAAGATAAGGTTCGAGCCGAGGTTCGACAGGTCTGCAATGGTGGTTCACCCTCGGTTGAACATCTTTCCAAGCTCTCAGTGGTATGCACCATTAATCTCATTAATTTATATACTATATTATATATATATATATATAGACTTGGGATTTTGTGACACCATAGATTTTTCGTAAGACCCGTAACAACAATTCTCAACCTTAGATCTACAATTTGAATATTTATAATCACAAAATTGTCATGAGACTTCTTATTAATCACAAAATTGTCACCATGCAACTTTAGACCATTATATTATTAGCTTATAAAATTGATCAATGAACATAAATTGGTTTTACGGGTCTCACGAAAAACCATTTGTCTCACGTGAACCCATCTCTCTCTCTATATATATATGTATATATATATATATATGTATATGTACAGCATTAAAGATTTTTGTACGTAAAATTTACAAAGCATTAAGTATAAGTTATTATAATATGAATAAAATCTTTAAATTTCTAAATCATTCATATTTTATTTAAATAAATGTTAAACAATTTACTTTTTAATTAATTTACAATTAAAATTTACATTTTTAATGTATTTTAAACAATTTACTTTTTTTAAGAAATATTTTTTTTGGAAAATGATTTTTTTTAAATTAAATTATGGAAATTCAAAAATAATAGTTTGACTTATATGTGTTGGACTCCAAATAATTAAATGCGTTGAAAATTTTCACTGAAAACTGTTGCCATTTAAATATGCTCGAGATTCTCATGCATGGTTGTCTGGTTATCGATTGAATTTTATTTATTTATTTTTGGAATAAATTCAAAATTAATTTTAATAGTTATCAACTCTAATGGTTTGGTTGCCAAATTCAACTACATATTCATGAAATAAATAATTTAATTTTAGTTTATTAATTATCTAATTTTTTTAATTGGCAGTTAAACATGGTGATTAACGAATCATTGAGACTGTATCCTCCGGCATCTGTACTACCAAGAATGGCATTCGAAGATATAAAGCTAGGAGACCTTCACATTCCGAAAGGACTGTCGATTTGGATCCCAGTGCTAGCTATACACCATAGTGAAGAGATATGGGGTCAAGACGTGAATGAGTTCAACCCTAACAGGTTTGCCTCCAAGTCGTTCTCCCCTGGACGTCATTTCATGCCGTTTGCAGCCGGCCCACGTAATTGCGTCGGCCAATCTTTCGCCTTGATGGAAGCCAAGATCATTTTGGCCATGTTAATATCCAAATTCAAGTTTACGATATCAGACAGTTATAGACACGCACCAGTTATCGTGTTGACCATAAAACCAAAATATGGGGTTCAAGTGTGTTTGAAGCCCTTGGAAGAAGGAGAGACATGTTGAAGTAATTGGTGATGGAAATTGACCAATTTTGACTCTTTTTTGGGTGGGATTTCAAGATAAAAATATGCTTTTCTTTAATTTATTTTTAGTTTAGTTTTTAATTAAAAAAATGTTTTTGAGGGAGTGGAGAAAGAGATAGAGATGGAGTGATGATTGTAATGATCAATTAGCACAAGAAGATATGTTAATAAAATGAGAAAGAAAGAGGGAGAAGTTTTTTTTGCTTTATATGTTATGTGTTTATAAGTGCATAAAAATTAACCACAAGTGTAGTGTCTGATTGGTTTGAGCTTGATTTCAGAGATCAAAAGTACCAGGAGGTACCAGGTTCAAATCTAAGGAGGAATAAAAATCCCCTTGTGGCCACTGAGGTTCAAATGCGGTGACTCCGGACTATCTGCAAAGCAGATGGTCATCGTCCAAGGATTAGTTGGCTCACATAGCGGGTTGGATATCCAGGTTAATAAAAAAAATTGCATAAAAATGCAGAGAAAGACAAAAATAAAAATAATATTTAATCAAACTTTATTAAAACTGAAATATCACATAATAATGAAACGAAAAACCATGCAAATTAATGATAAACATTGATTAATGTTTTCATTACAATGAAAAAGACTCGTTGCGACAACTATTATGTAACGTGCGTGACTTAAGGCTTGTGTATCACGTCTACATTTAACCGTGTCATGCAATGGTTTAATGTGTCACGATATTTGATTTTTTCCTTACCTTTTTAACGTATTATTTGTTAGTTTTTAATAGATAACTTAATTTAAATTGTTTATTATCATGCCTCATTGAGTAACTAGAATTGTACTCGTGCAATGTAGCAAAATACATCTCGATTTTACTGTTTGACTTTTATTTTGTGGTTTTAACGATTTTATAATACGGTTTTGTGTGCTTTTGAATTTGAAATTTTTTAAAACAGTACATCGATATTAGCATCAAACTAATAGTGTAAAAAGTTCTCCTTTTTTTATAAAAAATGTTTAATTTTAATTTAATTTTGGTTTAATAACGATGTAATTTATTTCAGGTTTAATAATGTAATTTTTTGTAAACGTCATAACTAACTATTATGTTAGAATTCAATGATTATCCTGATTATATTACATATTCATTATATTTAAAATAAGATTTTTATCCTGTAATATTTTATTATATTTATCAGTTAGTTAGATGAATTCAATACAGCTTTAACAAGTTGTACTCATACACCATTAAATATGATAAATAAGTCAAGTCTCGATAAACGTTGTGGTCTCATTGTAGCTCTTGTTAAATCTTGAGACTTGACTTTACCGTCATGTATTATTTATTTAGAAGTTGAATTAATGTTGTAGTTGGAGTATTATATATCTTAATAAGTTATTAGATAAATCTAAATACACGAATCTCTAGACCTATTTGGTTATGGACTTATGTTATCTTAAATTATTTTAAAAAATTACACGAGTAATGCGGTGGGAGCTGTGAATATTAACGATTTTGAAGTTTCACTGGTTTTATTAGAGAAGATTTAACGATGATACAAGTTACACTTGGTCTTTATACATAATAATACAATTTGAATAAATAAAAGTTACGGTTCCGATTATAGTCTATCGATGAAAAAAAATTGTATGATAGTTTAAAATCCAATATATTTAAAATCTAACATATTTAAACGACTCCACAAATGTGTTTGATTTACACCAAGAGCAAAGAATCAAGACATCGAGAGCGAGACCGAGAGTTCTAGAACAATTGAATGAGAGATGAATGAGAGAATTTTTGATAACTCATGATTAATATCAGTTTGAATCTCATACTGAGGGATGAGGAGAAGACATAAAGGTATGAGAGGGTGAAGACATGAGTGAAATGTGTCAAAAGTATCTTGGGAACATGAAAAGAAAAGACAATAATGTGCATTGGTAACTTGTACTATATGTTTTCTAATTGTAGATTAAGAGATTTTAAGACTATGCATAAAGTAGTAGTACTTAATGCTTTATGAGTTGTTTTTAAGACTTTTAAGATTTTGTGCATAAACAATTATATTTTATGATTATATGTATGCCTTTAATAATAATAAAAGTTGGTGTACCTTATACTTTAATAAACAAAATTATAAAAATAAAAATAAAGTTGATTTATAGAATTTTATGCACAATGAAATTTAACGGTAACCGATCAAATCTATTTGAAACTAATGGGTCGTTTACTAAATACTTACTTGGTAAGTGTTTGCTGGATAAATTTTCTAATCGGATGAACATGAGAATGACCAAGAATCTTACCGGGTAAGAGCGATGAGAAGGATGGAAAGTCTTACCCGGTAAGTGAGGATGATGACTATTACCCAGGTAATCGTTTACCCAGTAAATTGTTGCATTCGATATGTTTTGATATACTAAAATCTTACACATCAAAATAAATCATAATGTTGCAAGGAAAAAAACTTGCAAATATTCAAATGTTCAAACAAAATAGTTAAAACTATAAAGTTTAATATTCATAACATAAAAAATTCAAAAACTAATAAATAATTAAATAAATCAATACCAAATATATATAACAGATATCACACATGGGTGAGATGGTCTAGATAGTTGGATTGAAGTTTGACCTTCAAGCAAGTCGATTCTTATGTCCGGCAAATATTTAGTTTTTCAACTTCTAAATTTCGGTAAATAGGCATTAACTCGGGCTGTACAATGCTATTACTAAAAATATTAAACTAAGGATACAATTACAGGGATCAAACTTGCAACCTGATGTATAATTCTATATGTAATAGGGCAGTTTTTCTATTTTGATTTCATTATTTTTCTTCATGATTTATTTTCATTCTCATGGCCAAACCGCAACTTTGTCGACCCTTGGTCCCTCTTAAAGGTGCAGCCATTTTGAAAAATTATTAGGTCCGCCAATGCCTTTATTCCTAGTTTAAGGGCTGTTTGGCAATTGCTGAATGGTTCGGTGCAGAATGAAATATAATTGTTTGGTAATTGTTTACAATAAAATTAGGGGGCTTAATGGTTAAGGGAGCCTATGATACAAAATCATTCAGAGGGTTTTAGAACCATTAAGATGCAGATTTTTTTGCCAAACAAGATTCACCTCTTAACGATTAAGAGTCTGCCTCTTAATTGAACTATTAAGAGGTAAACAAACAACCCCTAAAAGAGAGAAAGAGGAGGGAGGTAGTGGCGACACTTGGAGGCTCTAACATTAGAGTTTCACTTACTGTTTTATTTATATGTATGTTCATGCTACCTTCAAGTAGGACTAATTTTGGATGACATGCGATGTTACATGTTTTATTTAAATGTATGTTCATGCTACGTTACATAATGTGAAGAATGATTTGAAGCATGCAAGTGTATGTGTTTATGTTTGAAAATGCATGAATATGTTTTGTTGCACATAGGTTTATGTGAAACTGGGGTTAACTCACACTGCTGCCACCGAATTATAATGGTCCAGAGGAGGAAGTGCTTTGTGTTCGAGAATGTTGTTTCTTGTTGGCACAATGGTATTGTTTGGCAATAATGTGTTTCTTGCTGAGTTAGTCATAAGTAGGTGATGTTTGTATAACACTCCTAAAATTTAGAAAATAACAGAAAATTTAAAACTTTAAAACTCATTCAATGCAAAGCACTTTAATAAAGGAATTACATAAAGTGTGTCCAAAAGGAGGACAAAGTATGTATCAAAGTTCCATATGAACTGTCTAGTTCCCAAACTGGATTAGAATAAGTTTGATGTTAGTAATACCACAAGACCTGATATCTTCAATCTGGATGACACCTCTAGGTCGTCCTATCAGAATCTGTATAAAGCTCCAAACGCAACTCAAATAACTCTACGACATGATATACATGTCAATAAGAAAAAGTGTTAGGTTTAATGCCTAATGAGTTAAAACATTTTGTCACATAAACATAAAATAGTAAAAACCATAAAATTCCCCCTTTGGTCATAATTTCCTTATTTGAAACCTTATTTAAAGATTAAGGAATATCTTTACAAAACTCACTGTTTTCTGGATTGACATCTAATATTTAAAACATTTTCTTTAAACCAAATTGACTCCCAACCTTATTTTCCAAAATAAGAGAGTGAGACTCGTTCTACTGAAATATTTCAAAATCAGATAACACGTTATACCCCAAATTCACCGAAATCACAAATAGACTCAAAGCAACACCTTTCGGTGATGGGGAGACCGAATTCCGTCCACTATGGATAACACGAAGTAAGCCATGAATCAATGTTACATGAGTAGCGACCTAAGATTTTGGTCCCAGTGTCTAACTCCTATCAAGTTTCCCATTACAATACCTAAGGTCTCGGAGCTCGACCTATACGAGTTCATCTCCGCAATACCCCGACCTTAATGCCTACCTACAAACGATAGAACTACACTTAAAAGACAATGGACTTGGGGACCGACTCTACACGAGTTCATGCCTAAAATACCCCCGATGACTTAGTGTCAACTCTACTAGGACATAACCTCTACACATTGGTCTCAGTGCCTAACTCCATACGATTAAATGTGATAACCGGGTTTAGGGTATTAAAATATGTTCTCGCATATGTGTGATTGTTCTCGCATCTTTGGGATGAGAGGACTTTGGGTTCTCTCATCTTTGGGACGAGAGAACCTTATCGCATCTTTGAGACGAGAGAACCTTAGGTTGTCGCATCTTTGGGACTATAGAAGCTTGGGTTGTCGCATCTTTAGGACAAGAGAACCTTGTCTCATCTTTGGGACGCGAGAGTCTTGGGTTGTCGCATCTTTGGGACGAGCAACCCTTGGGTTGTCACATCTTTGGGACGAGAGAACCTTGGGTTGACGTATCTTTGGGACGAGAGAACCTTGGGTTGTCGTATCTTTGGGACGAGAGAACCTTGGATTATCATATCTTTGGGACGAGAGAACATTGTCGCATATTTAGGACGATAGAACCTTGTCGCATCTTTAGGACGAGAGTACCTTGGGTTGTCTCATCTTTGGGACAAGAGGAGTTGGGTTGGTCTTATCTGATAAATTGAGGTTCGATGCGATATTTGTTGTTCATGTGTTGATTTTCAAATAATGTTTTTTTTTTCAAAAATTGTTTTGGTGATCGGCACCATGTAATAGCTATCAAAGGATTACTCACTAGACCTTGTGGTCTAACCCTCGTTTTGTTTTCA